AGGATAAACCATGCACGACAAGAGGTCTATTGCACTAGAGACTGAAGGTGAGAAATGGCCAGAAACAAAACATTGCATGGAAACAAATAAGAGAAGAGCAACTCACCATACACACAAAAAAAGAGGGGGAAACCGAGAAGCTAAGGGTGAACAAAAAAGGAATACAGGTTGTTACAGGAGACAACAGTCTGAGGAGGATGATTTGTTTATAGGAGTAAACAACGGACTAGTCATTCGTATCAGCACCACTGAGACTAGTCAGAAGCACAGAGGCAAAGGGAGAAAGGGCTGGAAAAAAAATAAAATCTGTGTGCTAGACGTCAAGAAGTCAGGGAAAAAATGTGAGTGACCAAAAATTAGGTAGGTTAGTCTTTCAGTTTTGTTTTTTTGGTGGTTTTGGGGGGTTGTAGGTTTTGGGGTTTCTTTTGGTGGGAAGGGTTTTTTTGCAAACAGTGAAAGATTCTTCAGCCAGGATTCTGAGAGAATTAGACAAAGTTCTGTCAGGGAAACATACTGAAGTATCAGCCACTTCTGAATTTCTCACAGAAGATGAAAATAATAGCAACAGTTTCCAAATATTTCAAGAGATTTATGCTTCTGGTCACCCATTTTCTGCAACAATGAAGCAGATGTGGACTGTGATGAATACCACAGAAATGGAGGCAAGTGTCTCCGAGAGATTGCACTGTGCAGTTGTAGGGGGTTGACGGCAGCTGGCAGCTAAGCTGCCACACAACCGTTTGCTCACTCCCCAACCCTAGACAGGAGAGGGAACTGAAAGGGTAAAAGTGAGAAAAATTCAGGGACTGAGGTAGAGACAGTTTAATAAGTACATTAAAAAAAGGGAAAAAAAATCCAACAAACCACACAAGTAATGCAAAAAGCAATTACTCATCACCTCCCATCAGCAGACTGATGCCCAGCCAGCGTCCAAGAAACTGTTACCTTTCAAAAACTCCCCACATCCTTTTAATGCCAACTATGATGTTATCCAGTATGATGTCTCTCTTTGCTCAGTTTGGGTCACCTGGCCTGACCATGTCATCTCTCAACCACTTGCTCACCCCCAGCCCACTTGTTGGGAGTGGTAGGGGAGAGCAGAGTGAGAAAGAGGCAGCCTTGCCAAGCACTAGCTAAAACACTGGTGAGTTACCAGCACTGTTTTGGTCACAAATCTAAAATACAGCTCTGTAATCGCTCCCACAAAGAAAATTGACTCCATTCCACCCAGACCTAGTACAATAGCCTGGCAAACCAGAGACTGAGAAAATACTGCTGTCTACTTACTCACCAAAGAGGGATCCCAGTGAAGGCTGCTCAGAGAGGCTGTGGAGTCTCCTTCTCTGGAGACATTCAAAACCTGCCTGGACGCGTTCCTGTGTGACCTACTGTAGGTGATCCTGCTCTGGCAGGGGATTGGATTAGGTAAATGATCTTTTGAGGTCCTGTCGAACCCCTAACATTGTGTGATTCTGTGAAGAAAAGAGCTGTTTTAGGCTGAAGAACAGTACAGAACGTATATGCACTCATAAACAAGTGGCGGTCAAGGACTTGTAGGTTCAGCATCTAAATTCTCTACATAATAAAAATACAGTTCAAAATAAGCAACTATAAGCAGTGGACATTTGTGTAGGAACTAAACTTTTTTAGTTATGAATATCACTTCACAAGGATTGACTAAGAAATTTATAAGCAAGTCTTAACACTGAAATTTCAGTATATGGTATACAGACAAAGGCATTTAAATTTTAAGCTTTCAGTACTTTTCTTCACATGTAACAAATATTGTACAGAGTTTTGGTTTTGATTAACTTACATGATAGTTTGTGTGACAGCCAAAAGAGGTAAAAATCAAAAAATGTTTCTGCCTTGTTAAAGAAAAATTTCATCATTTGCTTCTTTAAGGAGAAAACAGTACTGTTATGGCTGAGATTTACTCAGTAACAACTGTTCTCCAACTGCTTAATTTTAACTTCACTATAAAAACCCCTGAATTGTCTTTCCAGATTATTGTGTATATCATAAGTCTCAACTACATTTTGGAATTACATACGCATTCACTTACAAAGTCTTAGATCTTTAACCGAGAGTTGCAGGTTATCAGACCAAAAGCTACAGATAAAAATATGTATGTATTTAAATATGAGCTGCTCCCTTGTCCAAAGTTCAAGCTTCCATAAAAGGAGCGTAATTGTCAGAGACGTAATCAAGAGAGACACAAACTGGTTAATGATTAAACAAAGAAATTAAAAACAAACTAACCAAAGAAAATTTTTACATAACGTCAACGTGTGTTCAAGGCAGAAGCGTTATTTTTGAAAGCACGTAAGTGAGCTAACAATCCTTATGCTGTTGAAAAACTAGTTTGGATAAAATAATTAAGAAATTCAAGTAGAAAATGGCCCAGAATTGTTGAAAGGAATGTGTTAGAGTTTCTTAACATCAGGTGTATCACCCTTCTCCATAAACAAATACATACCCTTTAGAGTATGCATGTAGTATACAGTACATAGATTTTACAGTCAGTACAACTTCTCTATTACTTCTAAACACTAAGCTTTTTTTTTTTTAATTTGTTATGATTACTTCATTACAATAAAACAGTTACCTGCCATATGTAGGAAAACCAAAGATCAAGACAACTATATTAATCATTAAGAACACAAAGTTTCATTGCCATTACAGTGAACACTTAAGAAAGGAAAAAAAATTACAACCCTAGGCTGTTATTCTTTAGTCACTGTAATGTATTATCTTTCTCATCTTGAACACTATTCTACAGAATAAATTTGACAGTGCATTTTGACTGGAACTCTCAAACCAGCTTTTCAAGGCCCCATAATACTAATTATGAAACAAAAAGTTGGTACATGCTGGTGGAACCAAGATAAGCCTTTCATATTTGTATTTGTAGCCACCTTGTCTCATTTGATAAAAACTGGTTTGTAAAATGTTCAAAATTTTTACCCACTGTAAATGTTTCTAAAACATTTTAAATAATTTTATTAACACATATTTTCATAAATTCAAACACGGGATTAAAACATTCAGCTCTATCCAATAATCAGATTTTAAGTTTCTTTAAATGTATTTCTAGTTTCCCCATAGGGTTCCTTCTGAACTTTAATTAAATTTTAAAATAAAAGTCAAATAATAAAATAGGATACTTATTAAGGATTGGCAAATCAAATCAAATGAGTTAGTATTCAGATTAAAAAACCCAACAACACAAAAAAACCAACCTCCCACTAAAATCAAAATCAACATCATGAAAAATTTGAGATTAAACAATATTACCTGTGAAGAAGTTAGAGTCTTTCTGTCATACTCTAAGAAAACGATTTAGTTCTTTTGATCATAGCCAAGCAGTTAGTATTTCTTCTCCGCTGCCTTCTAGTATGGTTGGAAAATACAGATTTATATATACACACCTAATATTTTTTGGTTTAATACTCTCATATTTTCAATTTCCATTTGTTGTGGAAACAATAACGGGTTGAGCCTTGTTTTTCGACATACTGGGGTAACAACAACACAGGATATTCCATACAGAGATAGTTCGGGAGATGGCTATTACTTGCTCCAGCTTTACTGTACTGAGATTATCTATTTATCATTCATTTGCATACTTTTTATTTAACAGGGTTTAGGTACACAGATGGTAAAAGGGTCTGGCACTGCTTTCCACTATTGAGTGAGAAAATTTATGTAGTGACCAGGCTGTATCAGTTGTATCTGTGGGTTTTGGAAACAAATTAACTACAATGTATTTAAAATATTTTCACAAATACTCTTCAGAAGTCCCCTGTGACATCTGCAAGTATTACTTGCCTGGCTTTGCCAGTAGATGCTTTAATAAAACAGCTTTCAGCGAGATAGCTGCTACCTGACCATGTATAGACTGACTTCCCATGTTGATGTTTTACCACTGCACAGTACTTCATTATTACGTTGCTTTATTACGTTCTCCATTCCATTTTTAAATATTCACTTACAAGTTAGTACATAAATAAACCACTTCCACAGAAACGTCATTTTGAATTGGTTAATATAAAGAGTTGCACGTGCGATAAGAAATCAAAAGCACAGTTGCAGAGAATGAACCTAGGTCTGTGAAGGAAGTGTACCAGCTTCAGTCAAAAGATAAGAAATCAAAAGCACAGTTGCAGAGAATTAACCTAGGTCTGTGAAGGAAGTGTATCAGCTTCAGTCAAAGAGCCTGTGACTTGGGAACAAAGTTTCCCAGGCTGTGCACAGTGGAATATTTGCTGACTGTCAGTTCACAGTGCACAGCTCCTTCTTGTTTCCAGTTGCCAGACTTCACCAAGAGAGCTCTTGAATGCATCACTTACCAAGATTAGATGTACATACACTACTCAAAGAAGTATGAACATATACTATAACTAAATATTATATTAAGTTCTATACACGTAACTAGACACTATACTCATAACTATACACCTACCCTATACACATATCTATATACAACTATGTATATATATACACACATAACTAGACACTATACACATAATTAAGTTCTTTACATATAACATCTGAGTTTGATGCAGAGTGGCATATATATATATATACGCATATTTATATATGCAACCACGATATTGTAGGTAACATTACAGTTGTAGGCAATTCAGAGAATTAGGGTGGCAAAAGGTAGCCAGGGGAGAGATCTTCAAGATGGAAAACAAAACAGCTGTTTACTATTGTCCCTGCATTAAATCGCAGTCTGCAGTATAAAAAGCAAAAAATAGTCCAAGATGAAGTTCAGGTATTTGCAGTGTGTCTTCATCATCTGATTTCCTACCAACTGTTTTGTAAAGCGATTGTATATTTCTGCAAGCTACACATCAGTCAGTCTTTCAATCTACACACAACAGGTAGCCTTGATTAGACGTCTTGTCAAATTGGTTAATTAAGTCAGTCCTAAAGCAAAATTCTGTGAAATGAGATTGTGACAAGCTATCATCGTGGTTTGTGTCTTTCAGAAAACACACCTGAAAAGTGTTTGTCTGCAATACCAGCTGCATCTGCTTCTGAGCAGCCATTTCTTTTGTCTTTGAAAGAATGAGATGGGACTAATCATCATCTTCCTATGGTAACTACAAAGTCAACATTAATCAGACAGTAACTACAAATTATTTATTTTTACTGTTACAACTGTTACTTGCCTCCAGTCACTTTAGAGAGTGGATCCTCTCCCACCATGAAATGTGGTTCCCCGTTGCTTCACAGGCTACAGTCCCTTATTTGATTCTGTCTTTGACTAGGCTCAGTCTGGTCAAGAATGTGTCTTGGCCCTCATCTCAGTGATAACCCTCAAGTTGTTGAAATTGTTGCATTTAAAGATCTCCATCAATGTATGCTGATGCCTATAAATAAATAAAATATGAGATGCCTCTTTCCATTCTCATTCCAGTTTCCTGTCTTAAAAAAACCTGATCCTACTTCTAGGGCCTACATGCTTTACTTGTTTTCTCGTTGTGCCCCTTCAGTCAAATCTCTTTGCTAAGGTCTGACATTTCTTCTCTCTCTGCTTTTGGCAAAAATATGGTAAGTGTCCTCTGACTCCTCTTATAATCCCCCTTTCTTTCCCTTTCCCAAAAATCCTCTAATTTTTGAATCTTTAGTTAATGTTTAAATGTTTAAAAACTGCTTGTTTTAAACAAACTTCCCAAAACAATTGGTCTGTCTTTC